ATTGTGGGACTTCAGCACAGCGGGTAAACATAACTGTTGCACCAGCATGATCCTCAATCCGTTCAACACACCGCTTCTGGCACGCTGATGATGCGAGTCCATGGAACTCTTGCAACAATGAACAACGAATGTGCGGGGGGAGGAGGAGGAGGAGGAGAAGGAGGAGGAGGAGGAGAAGGAGGAGGAGGATGGGGAGGAGGGGGAGGAGGGGGAGAAGGGGGAGGATGAGGAGGGGAAGGAGGGGGAGGAGGACGAGGGGGAGGAGGAGGAAGAGGAGAAGGAGTAGGAGAGCAGAAACGGGGGAGAAAAGGAGGGAGGAGGGGGAAAGGAGAGGGCGGGGGAGGAGGAGGAGGAAGATGAGGAGGAGGAGGAACTAGTCTGTTTGGGTAGAGTGCGGGCTACCGCTATTGGGGAGAAGGAGGAGGAGAAGGAGGAGGAGGAGGACCAGTGTAAAACCAAGAGTCATCAACGATGTTGGAAGTAGCCCTCCCTCCAAGCTCCGTCTTCATGGGCCCCGACAACGACTCAACTCCATTGAAGGAACGGCCATGTTGGAAGACAACCGTCCGAATATCCTGAAACATGCAATAGCAATGTTCTCGGGATATCAACTCCACGTATCAACATGAGTGCTGCGTCTTGACGATCCAGCATCGTGCCAGAGCGCCCTCTTTTGGAACTTCGACACCGCGAATCAACATAACTGTTGCACCATGATGGTCATGACTCCGTTCAAAACACCACTTCTGTCACGCTGATGATGGGAGTCCGTGGAACTCTTGCAACAATTGAAAACGAATGTGCGCCGCGCTAATGCGAGACACACATTTTGAAAATGAGCTGCCCTCAATCCATGAAGCTCTTCAAATGTTTAAAACGAATATGCGTCGCGCTAAGGCGAGAGCCACATGTTGAAAAAGAGCCGCCCTGAATCCGTGAAGCTCTTGCACATTAAAACGAACGTGCGCCGCGTTAAGGCGAGAGCCACATTTTGAAAACGGTCCGCCCTCCATATGTGAAGCTGTTACAAGTGTTTCCAAGCTTCAGAACCATTAATGGTTAGGAAGCCTCAGGCGAAACACACTGCCCGCCCCAAAAACTGGCTTCGCGGTGCGACATGGAGAAGTTACAATAAGGAAAAGGGATGGGGGGAATGGAGGAGGAGGAGAAGGAGGAGGAGGAGGAGGAGGAGGAGGAGAAGAGAGAGAAGGAGGAAGATGAGGAGGAGGCCTCGAGAGGGGGCGAGCCCCACGCGCACTCCTCAGCACGCCAGCTCCAACACGCGTCGCGAAGACGATTGACGGAGTTCGGTCGGCATCTCCGCTGGCGCTCCTGCACTGGAAGCCCTGAGCCTCCAGACGTTGACGACTCTTTTGGGGGTGGAAGTGTCGGCGACGCGCAAGCGTCGCGGATGCCATGGCAATGGGCATTCTAAGCGTTCTACGGTTGACTTGACCATGTCTGTCAAATGTCTTCGGCATGTTTCAGAATACATGATTTAGCATCTGAAAGACATGCGTGAAACATGTCTTCAACATCTGGAAAGTATGCTGCAACATGCATCCTCTCCATGGATCGTCTCCCACAACACAAGAGCTGCCCCAAGCAAGGGTGACCTTTGGTGCGCGGCTTTCGGGGGGCGCGGGAAGGCAAACCCAACCGCGCAACCCGCTGCTACCGTTTGGGCGCCCGAGATGGGTACGGAAAAATTGGCATAATGCCTAAAAACACATGTTGTCCCAAGCCGAGCAAGCCACGGCCTCTGGTGGGCACGGCCCTCGTCGACACCGGAAACGAGCCATGCTTACAATGAGCAAGAGATGCTGTCGGTCTTTGTGCTCATGTTTTTTCCCAAACCAGTGCTTGCACTGAAGGGGTCCTAGCGGAAATTGAAGGATTCAGCGAAGCTTTCCCGCCGATTTTGGTGGCTGGCTGGGTTCCCAAGTTCCCGGTTCCGGGTTCCCGGGTTCCTAGCCCTGCCCGCGTCTCCCCCTCCCCCTCCTCCTCCTCTTCCTCCTCCTCCTTCTCCCTCCCTTCCTCCTTCTCCAGCCCATTCCTCCTCCTCCTCCTCCTCCTCCTTCTCATCATCATCATCATCATCATCACCAACATCATCATCCTCAACCTTATCTCACTGTGAAGAAGGCTGTACTACGGGCCCTGCCCCCGCCTCCCCCGCCCCCCCCGTCGCCCCGCTCCGTCATGCAGTACACGAACGGCATGTACCCGGAGTAGCTTGCCCTCGACCTGCTCTCGCGGGCGCGGGGAAAAACACACGTACGCAAACACACACACACACACACACCTACACGTACACAAACACACACACACACACGCACGCACAACGCACAACGCACAACGCACACACACAAACACACACACACAAACACGTACGCAAACACACACACACACGCACGTACAACGCGCAACGCACACACACACACACACACACTCTCACACACACGCACACACGCACGCACGCACGCACGCGCACGCACACGCACACGCACACGCACACGGTCACGCGCACGCGCACGCGCACGCACACGCACACGCACGCACCCCCGCACCCCCGCACCCCCGCACCCCCGCACACCCGCGCCCCCGCACCCCCGCACCCCCGCACACCCGCGCACCCGCACACCCGCACACACCCCGCACACCCACACCCGCACACCCGCACACCCACACACCCGCACACACCCACACACACACACACACACCCGCACCCCACCCGCACCCGCACCCGCACCCGCACCCCACCCGCACCCGCACACGCACACCCACGCACACCCGCGCACGCGCACGCGCACACACACACACGCACACACGCACACACGCACACAACACACGCACACACGCACACACGCACACACGCACGCATGCACGCACACAAACACTCACACACACACGCACACACACACACGCACACACACATACAAACACACACACACACACACGCATACACACACGCACACACACACACACACACACGCGCACACACACACACACGCGCACACACACACACACACGCACACACACACACACACGCACACACACGCACACACGCACACACGCACACACGCACGCACGCCCACGGCCTCGCGGCCTGGACACCCTGGCCGCGGCACCGCCGATCCTTGCGCGGATGTCCCGCGCCCGTGGGACCCCGTCTCGGCATCCAGGCCACGAAGCCACAGATACGGACATGTCCTGCTCGTCGCTCGTGGTCACCTCGGCGGCCTTCGGCGGGCATCGGCGGTCTTTGGGCGGTCTTCGGCGGTCTTCGGTGTTCTTTCGGCGGTCTGGACGGCGCCCCGACACGGTCTTCGGCGGTCTTCGGCGGTCATCGGTGTAAAATCGGGATAGTTCGCGCTAACAAAGGGTCCAGGATTGAACACGTGACGGAAATGTCGCCCTCCTCCTCCTCCTCCTCCTCCTCCCCCTCCTCCTCCTCCTCCTCCTCCTCCTCCTCCTCCTCCTCCTCCTCCTCCTCCTCCTCCTACGGACACGTCCTGGTCGTCGTGCGTGGTCCCCTCGGTGGCGCCGCGAGGCGCCGCAACGCCGTGGCCCTTTTTGTGCGGCGCGTGCGCCCGCGTTCGCGGGGGCCCGTCTCTGGCCGCTGGCCGCTCTTGCCTCGTCCCGGGGCCCCGAGGGCGGCCCCGTGGCCTCCCGTGCAGTACCATCGGGGCTGGATCACAAGAAGCCTTCCGCAAGAAGCCCAGCCCTGGAGCCCTCCTTCCCCTCCTCCTCCTCCTCCTCCTCCTCCTCCTCCTCCTCCTACTCCTCCTCCTCCTCCTCCTCCTCCTCCTCCGCCTCCTCCTCCTCCTCCTCCTCCGCCTCCTCCGCCTCCTCCTCCTCCTCCTCCGCCTCCTCCTCCTCCTCAGGTCTTCTTGATGTGGGGACGTCACGTTTTCCATCGCAGGGCCATCGAAACCCAAAAAAAAACCAGGGAACCCTGGAGGCAGGCAAGCTGTTTCGTGACATGGGCCTCCCCCGTCTGGTTTTCCGTCCCGTGGTTTTCCGCAGAACGTCTCGTACAGAGTTCCGTAGGTCTCCCGCGTGGCCTACCGGATGTCTGCTAGGGACGATCGACGTTGTGATCGGTTTGTCCACCCATTCTGCGGAAAGACGTGGTCCGAGAATATTCGAAGGCGCTGGCGCGAGCAGCAGCACCTCCGTGCTGTAAGACGTCCACTCTAGTCAGCGCAAGACATTATTCTGCCGAGTGCGCTGCTCATAACAATTGATAGTGGTGTGGATCAGGGAAATCTCTGCTCACACGATCCGCTCCGAATCATTCCAATCGCGGCCTCAAACTACGATCCCATACCCTCCAACAACCATGGCAATACGCGCGACCGTCAACGTCCACTCGGAAAACTTCACCGCTGGACGTGATGTCCTCTGGGCGTGTAGAACACTTTTCGTTGCAGCACTGCTGGCTTCCACCTTGCCCGACTGGCAACAAGGCCACTGGTTGATGCCGCTCGCGGCCACACTCCACACAACTCGCATGCCGATTGTATTGCAACCGTCTGCACGCGATGCATTCCCAATCTCCTGGCCGAAAGGGAGCTCTGCCGCCTGGAACGGTCACGATGTCTGGATAAGCGAGGAAGCTCACAGCCGGGCACTGGCCGCACCTCGGCAGATGACCTTCGTTGAAGGACCCGCACACGTGGCAGAGCCACTCGCCAGGGCGCGGCGCATGCCTCGCCAAATCCAGCAACTCGTCAGAGGTGCACCTTACCACTTGCAGCGCGGGTGGCATCCAGCTATACCTGCCGCCTGGTGAGAACTTCCGGACCCAACCGCTCCAGACTCCGACCAGAATGCTCGGCGGGAGCCCCTCCCTGCCGCAGTCGGCAGCGGCATCCTCGCCAAACCGCCATTGCCAGGGAGGCCACCCCTCGTCCAGCTGGCACGGGGGAGCCTGCACTGCTGCCTCCCCGGAGTCGGCACCCTCGGCACGTGCAGCCTCGAGCTCGGCCCTGGCTTCACCCTGCAGTCGGCTCAGCGTGCTGGCGAGCAGCGGCAGCAGCAGCTCTGCGCTCTTCGAGAGCGGCCAAGAAGGGGGTGTCCAAGAGGGGGGGGTGCAAATCATGACCGGCGGCATGTGCGCGGCCCAGCGGGGGGGCCAGGGACGTACTGAAGCGAGAAGAGGCGCCATGAGATCTGGGGAAATGTCATGGCCCCCGCCATGATATCCCCCCCCCCTAGTCATCACCCCCCTCCTTGCCGCCCCCGAGCTCTCCAGCAGGCGCGCGATGCGGCCCAGCAGCGGGTGCACGACCAGACGCAGGGCGCCCCGGCGGCCGCGCGCCGCCCGGCCGGCCAGGCTGCCCTCCGAGTGGAAGAGCTGAGCCTGCGCCAGGTGGTTGTCCATCGAAGTGTGGGCCTCCACTGTGCCACGGCGGTTCCGAACGGCTCGCCTCATCCGCCCCGACATCGCCGCGAGATCCTGGACCTCAAAGCCGGGGCGATGGTGCGCCAGCTCGAGCTCGATCTGCGGGCCGAAGGCGAGAACGGCATCGAACAAGTCGGCATGGCTCAGCGACGCGAAGCCACCCATGGAAGCGCCCAGTGCGCAAACGCGGCGATACGGTGCAGTGATCCGTTCTAAATGCTCGCGAAAACTGCTGCGTGAGACGTTGGCTGAACTGGCAGGTTCCTCCGTGTACCAACTTCGATGAGGATCGACGAGCAAAAGCACATCAAAATCTTCGCGATTTGACTCGTTATCGTGGTTGTCGAGTGGCGGTGGCTGGCCATCTGTACACAGCTCCATCGGTAAATTCTTGTGGCCTGCCCAGAGGCTCGCCATGTTACCTCCGACTGTCTTCGGGAGCTGGGGATACATTAGGCGCATCTGCTCGACGTGCTCAGACAGAGTTGGACGCAACGCGTACTGCCTGAGAGCCGCTTCGTACTGGCGCTGCTCGTGCAACCTGCCAAGCTCACCAGCCCACTCAGGCTCACCCTGCGACGCAGCGAAGGCAATCATGAGGACACGGCTCCCAGCGTCGCAGGTCGGCTCCTCCTCGCCAGCACGCTCGCCCAGTGTTGCAGCACCAACTGCGCGCCTGAGCTGGGACGAAGGGATGAGCTTGCCGTACCACGGAGAGCCTGGCATCACCGACCACCCGCTCTGCACACAAGGCGGCAGAGCCGCCTGCGGAGAAGACTGCTCACAGCCACTGCCTCCCTGGCGCCGGCATCCGAGCGGGGGCTGGTCATCTGAAGCGGCGCGCGCATGGTCGAGAGATGGTGGCATCATCGCCCCTGTGCTGCTCCATCGACGCACCTGCGAAGCATCCAGCCCCAGCAGCCTCAAAGGCCTTCCCGACTCTCGTGCCCGTACGTCACGCATGCGCTGGCCCTCGCTCGTCGAGGGCGAGTGGGCGTGTGGGCTGGCCGGCCGTCCCCGCCCCGCTCCCATTTCTGGAAATCGTAAAACAATCTGGCTATAAGATTCTTCCAGCATGCAACGCGACGTCCACTTGTCCCCAATGGCGCACGCTTCGCGGCGGCTACAGACACATCGAGCACCATGGAACGTTCAGGACGCGACTGGAAAGCCACGGACGCAGACACTTGATAGATGAGCAAGCCCTGTTTGAAGAATGGGGGAGGTGGGGGTGGGGGCGAACTCGTAAACACACCTTCTGGGCAGTGGGAGTCTGCCAGAGTTGACTTCGGGGCACCCAAAAGATTTAAATTTCTCACGATGATCCACTGTGGCAAAAAAAATATATCCTGGCAAAGCAACCTAACAACGATGTGTAGAAGCATAGCTGGAAACATTGCCTTGGGTATTCATGTAAGAGCGCTGTTGTATAATTCAGGTGTTCTCGCAGTCGCATTCGGATTCGCAGTGACACTCGCAGTGGCAACATCAGTCGCAGTCGCAGTCGCAGTGGCACTGCCAGTAGTTGCAGTAGCAAGAGCTACACTAGCAGCAGCAACAGCAGCAGCAGTAATAGTAACAGTAGTAATAGCAGTAGAAGTAGTAGTGATGGTAGTAGCGGTAACAGTGAAGTAGTAGTTGTAGTGGGTGGAGTGAACGAGTAGGAGTAATGGGAGCAATGGTAGTAGCAGTAGAAACACTAGTAGCAAGAAAGGTACAAACGAAGACCACGAAATGGCCTACAGTTGGCTCCGGGCATTCAAAATGTGGCCCGGGAATGGTGTTCTGGGAACTCGAAGAGCACGAAGTGGCCTACGGTTGGCTCCGGGCATTCAACATGTGGCCCGGGAATGGAGTTCTGGAAACTCGAAGACCACGAAGTGGCCTACAGTTGGCTCCGGCATCCAAAATGTGGCCCGGGAATGGAGTTCTTGGAACTCGAAGACCACGAAGTGGCCTACAGTTGGCTCCGGCATCCAAAATGTGGCCCGGGAATGGAGTTCTGGGAACTCGAAGACCACGAAGTGGCCTACAGTTGGCTCCGGGCATCCAAACTGTACGCCGGGAATGGAGTTCTAGCAGCGCCAAGAGCGATTTCGCGAGGATGTCCAAAGCGATTTGGCCTTCGGCGGCAGCCGCCCCGGGTCCCGCCCCGACCCCCCTGAGGAGTCATGATGCTGTCTTTAGACACCACTAGAAACCTATCAGTCTTCGCTGTTAGGTAATAATCGAATGCTAAAGCCCCTGCCTGCGGCAATAGTCGTATTGATTGGTAATGCTACTTGGCCAGGTGGGAAATATTATGACCCTGTGGCGGGTGCTTTGGATGCTCGTCGGTGATGGTTGCCATCGACCAGACTCCACCTGTCGAACAACTAAGACTCCGCCCGGGTGTGGCGAACGGGGAACGTTCCTGGGCGGGGCAATGGGCCCCCCACGCATCATGTATCTATTGGTCCAAAAGTTTCGTTAAATATGCAACTTTCGCGTAGGACTGTGTCAGAAACAGGCGGTTTCTGGAACGGTTCCCTGATGTTTCGCCAGATTCTGTTCAGTTTGTTTCGCGTTTCCTCATGCGTCAAACGCAAACACTTGAGCGGACCTGGGACACCCTCAACCGCGTGATTGTATCGGCTTTAGTTTTGGCAACTGTGTACCGTCTCCGAACGCCCCCGAAAATCCACTCGATCCCTGGTGTGTTTCTTCGTCGTGGAACGTACATGGAATAACGTACATTCTTGCGTCGGGCGTCATCACAAACATCAAGACCCGCGACAATATGTTGCGATCCTGGAAGAGCCCGGCAACATCTTCCACTGTTCCGGCCTGGTAGGGACCTGCGTCATCGCCAGATTCGTTGCCGCATTCGTACCTATTCCGGTTCAGAGGACGCAGGCGCCACTTATGACCGCTCTGGAACACACGCATGCCGAGCCAGTAAAACGCTAGCTCAAGCCCCAATGGCGACGGAATCTGGCTATCCGATGCTATCGAAGTCTCAGCGCATGTTCACAAACACACACACACACCGAAATTGGGAACCTATCCATGTTTGATTCAGACAGGGGGGAATGACTACATTCAAATTTTCTCTGCGCTTTGTGATGGGGATGTTGTGGTTTAGCTGCGCGGCGGAGACCCCCAAAGTTTCCAAATAGCGCCCCGAGAAAGCCCCAAGGACAACGAGGGCCAAACCGACCCAACAATGGTCTCAATCCAGGCACACGTGTTCGGGTCTAGAGTGCACAATATGGCGTACAGTAGGGGCCCTTCCACAAGAAACCTTCCACACGAAACACAACCCTGAGACCCCAGGACGTCCATTAATTTTTTGAAGTGGGAGCGTCACGCTTTCCATCGCAAAACCATCGAAACGCAAAAAACCCAGGGCACCCTGGAGGCAAGAAGGGTGTTTCTTGGCATGTGCCTCCACTGTACACGATAGCTCCAATTTCATCCACATCAGATCAGCGATGGCCCCAGCAAGCTGCCCTACAAAGCGCCCCCCCAAGGTAAGCCCGTAAACACACACGCGTCACGAGTTTTTCTTCTGCGGGGGCGGCCAGATGGCATAGGCCTCGTGAACAATTGTACTCAACGCCTCCACTGAAAGCGGGTTATCCTCCAGCAAGCATCGGCTAAGAGTTGCACAAGCCATCAGAAGACCTTCTGGGAGAGTGTTTAGATTATTTCCGCATAGGTAAAGGCTTTCGAGCGCGTGCATATCCTTGAGAGCATCCGGCAAAGGCGAGTGTAACCGATTACCGTTGAGAAGCAAGTGCTTCATCGTTCTTACACAGGGCCGCAGAAATGACTCTGGTAAACGCTCCAACCTACAGCCCTGCAAATACGCCCACTCCAACGACGAAATTTGGGGGCCGCTGCTGCAAAGCCATTGTGAACTACATGAGCCTGCGAGGCCGAGACCAATTGGATTGCCAGCCGTAGATAAACTACGAAGCTTTGGGCACGTAGACAACAAGTCACAAGGAAACGACTCAATAGCGTTGCCTCCAATGGACAATGAATGCAGCTCTGGCGCCTCAAACGGAGCAGGCAACGCTTTGATTTGATTTCCCGTCGCGTTGAGGTTTTGCAGGCTTGGCATCTGTCCAAAGGCTGACGGCAACGCCTGCAACATGTTCTGCATCAGAAATATGATCTGTAATGACTTAATCTCACCAATCTCATCTGGCAACTCGTGCAACTGAAGACTGCACATCATCAGTTTCTGCAAGCTAGATCCGCCACCCTGCCTCCTACAAGCTGGGGCGTACATCCCACTTCGAAACCAAACGCAAGGTTTCCCGCGACGTGGCGGCGGCCCAGAATCCGAAAATTTCAGGGTTCGCGCCGACACTGGCGACTGCAAACACAAACTTCTGACCCCGCGGGCCGCGTCTCGCGCGTCGATACACATCAAAAGCTTTCGTTTGGTTTCGAAGAGGGTGGAAGTATAATTCCCAGTGCTGTTGGATGCTCATTCTGGAGACCTTCCTGGAGACACTCGCTCCACTCGTGTGTCGAAGCTGCGTCGGTCGACTTGAATCGACACCGAGTCGAACCGAGTCGAACCTGAGTCGAGCTTGCGTCGAGCTGGAGTCGAGCCGGTCCGTTGGGTGGGCCCCAGGAAGGTCCCATAAAAACGAGCATCGAGAGTGCTGTCTCCCAGGGATCCCCGACATCCAGCTGCTCACATTTTTTTGGTGCGTGGACCCCGGAGGTCCGGACCACTTCTCTAGGGCCGGTTTCTCGCCCAGAATTGTTTTTCCACGCTCCCGACGCCCAGCGAGGGCCCTCCGAGCCCGAAAACTGCCCAAAACCGCCTGCTCCGATTTGTTTGGAGCGTCGGATCTCAGGGATCGTACGGCTTCTCGGGGCCCCCTCCTCGCACATCCGCGCTCGTGCCTCGCTCCCCCCCCCACCTTGCGGGGCTCCCTGTGCCGCTTGGGTGGGCCCCAGAAGGGTCCCCCAAAACGAGCATCGAAAGGGCTGCCTCCCAGGGATCGGAAGGCTTCTCAGGGCCCCCTCCTCGCACATCCGCGCTCTCGGGGGCGGCCAAGAGGGGGGCGTCCAAGAGGCGGGGGCGCAGATCATGGCCATCGGCACGTGCGCGGCCCAAGGGTGGGGTGGGCAGGAACGCAATGAAATAAGAAGAGGCGCCAGGAAATCTGAGGAAACATCATGGCCCACGCCGTGAGATCATCCCCCCCCCCGCCCAGTCGTCCCCCCCCCCTCTTGGCCGCCCCCGAGTAAGGGGGGTTGGGGGGGGGCAGGAACGCAACGAAATAAGAAGAGGCGCCATGAAATCTGAGGAAACATCATGGCCCACGCCGTGACGTCATCCCCCCCCCCCCGCCCAATCGCCCCCCCCCTCCCTCCTGGCCGCCCCCGGGGAAGGCTTCTCGGGGCCCCCTCCCCGCACATCCGCGCTCGTGCCGCGCTCCCACCACCCCCCACCTCCTCCCACGGGGGGGCCTCCCTGCGCCGCCTCCCTGCGCGCCTCCGGAGCGCGCTCCCTCCGGCGGGCCACACTAAAGGGGCCCTGGGACACACACACGCACACACACACACACGCACACACACACACACCTACACACACCTACACACACACCTACACACAAACACACACACACACACAAGAATATACACATAACAGGATTCCTCATATTTTATCATATGTTCTGGGTCTTCGTCTTCCCCCCCCCCTTCCCATCTCTTCCCATATCTCCCTGGGGATCGACAAACTAATTGTGTCTGTGTGTTCTTTCCCCTCCTGACACACCCAGCTGCCCAAGAGATCTCTCGGCGGCAGCTCGCGGGAGCCCCCCCCGTAAACCAGCTTGTCGCCTCCTGCGGATCGATGCCAGGCGACGCTGGATCGGCACTGGATCGACGCTGATCGACGCTACCGTCGGGGCCTTGCCCTAAGGAACCCAACAGAAGAAACGAGGCCCCTATTTTCCGTAGGTTGAACTTCGATTTCCGATCGAAAACATAAGGCAAACCTGAGGCAAGCTGTGAAACACGTATGTAAGGAACGCGGAGCCCCTCCCCAACCAAAAGGGTTCCTTCTCCAGGGCCCCGACTGTAGATCGACGCTGACTCGACGCTAACTCGACGCTGATCGCCGCTCACCGACGCTAAATCGGCGCTGTCGCATCGACCCCCGAGCGCTGATCGACGCTGGCCGACGCTAGAGACAGAATTGGGGCGGCGTGCCAGGCCCCCATGCTTTTGCTACCGAAGAAGATAGCCCTGAAGGCGGCGGAGGAATCAGCGGGCGAAGACTTCAAGGGCCCCAGAAACTGCAGGGCCGTTTTTTTATATTATTATTAATGTTATTACTACTACTATTATTATTATTATTATTATTATTATTATTATTATTATATATACATATATATATATATATAAATATCTCTCTGAAAATGTTCGAACCTGTCTCTCGAGAACGGAAGCGGTGAAAGAACGGCCAGAAACGGCAGTTAAAACGGTTCCAGTACTGAAACTGGACTTGGAAACTGAACAATAAGGGCGTCGGAACGGGCAACAAAAAACTACAACGCAACCAGCAAGAAAGCTGCGACACGGAACCCGCAACAGAAAAGGCCCTGTCGCTTCCAGGGCGCACTGAGGGCGAATAACGGTTCTAAGTATAAAACCAACAGAACCGCCGTCGTGGACGCCTGCCCTACGGGCGAGAAAAAACTTTCAGCCGCCCGGGGGGCAGGCGTCCACGACGGCGGAAAAGTTTATTTTGTACCTTCTCGCCACCTGAATGAAGGCTGTCAATGCCAAGCAGATGACTCAAGCTTTCTCCGAGAGTGCACCAGGAGACTCCAAAGAGATCCTGACCCAGAAATTGCCTCAAGAGAGCCCACAATAAAATCGATAAGTCGGATCGGCAATCGACATGAATCGGATTGGTGGAAATCCGCAGCTGAGTCGGGAGAAGTCGAGTCGGCGGATATCGGCAGGCTGGTAGGCCTCCGTTGAGAAACCAAATCGAATACAATCGGAATCGGTTAAAATCGAATCGAATCGAATCGGAGGAATGGAGAGAGCCCTGCTGTAAGGAACCGAACTTTTACACCGATACTTTTTTCTGGCCCCGCACTGAGATTCGCTCAAGAAAACGGCTTCTGGTGTATACGGCATCCTGGTGTATGCACTTTTTGCTGTTTCCACAGGACAACGGGGAAACAATCATACACCGCACCACCCCGACGTCGTCCCCGACCCGCAAAAACGTCCGGGGATTGAGAAACCGCCCGCCACTGGTAATGTATGTGTTCCAGTTCCCGATGTTGCCCTGGAGGGCCCAGGAGAGCCCAAGGGCGCCCCGAGGTGGCGCAGGGCAGTCCCAAGGAACGCACCCAGGCGGCCCCAGAAGAGCCTCAAGAGGGCCGCCAGCTCGACCCAAGACCGCCCAAGAGGGCCCGACGATTGAGAACACCACAGGAATTCCCCAGCACGCCGCCCCCCCATGCCGCCTGAGAGCCCCCCCCTAAATAGGGGAACGAACAATGACATGGACATAAGATCTCGGAGGGCCGCGCGGATTTCTCGGATCGGCGCTGGGGGGGGGGGGAGGGGCAACGCCGATCCGAGAACTCCGCACGGACCTCCGTGTTGTTACGTTTCTGTTATTGATCGTTCCCCTACGGTAGGCCCCAAGCAGCACCCAGGACTGCCCCACACGACCCTGACAGAGAACAGAAGAAGGCACAGGTCACATTTTGACTACGTCCGTCTCGGGGCCATCTCTCGGGGCGCCTCCTACCCTCCTCTCGGCTCTGCACCTTGTTCCTGCTTCTCTCCTCCTCCTCCTCCTTCTCCTCCTCGTTCACCTCCTTCTCATCCACTGCAGCGGCGGCTTCGCGAAGCGAAGATATGCCGCAGGCATCTGGATAGCTCACACCATCCGTGGGCTGGAAGGGCGGCGATCGGATGATCTGAGATTTCCATCTTCAGCAAGCCCCGTAAGCTGAATATTGCTGATGGCATTGCGTCTAGCCTTAGTGGCGGTATGGAACCAGCTGTACCAGGCCAACCGAGAGGGCCGTCCTCTTGCCCACGCCCTGGCCAACCACATAGCTCAACAGTGTCTGGCCACGGCATCCGCGCGAAACGTGAACTTCCGCCGCTAGACATCAGCAAGGTCACCAAGCTAGCAACATGCGCTGCCGACGCTTTCCCGTCTGAGTCCGCAGACAACAGCGCAGTTTCCCACAACGTGCCACAGCACTGGCGTCGCTCACAGTCCCAAGCGAGTCTCACACAGCCAAGGTGGCACTGAAATCCCTGCCCAGTGTAAATGGAATGGTAATGGGGCTTCAGATGCGTTCTACACAAAACGCAGACGGACTCCAAGGGGTCATCATGTAAATCAACACCAACCATCCATCCGCACAATCAAGACGCAACCAACGATCCGTATAAGAACGACTGGGCAAGCCAGAAAACCTGCGACGTGATGCCCAGAACGGCTTGAGCCTAAATCCCTGCAGATCGAATTCGAACCACCGGCGCTGCAACGAACGAAGACACGATCGGGACTCATCAGGCAAACCGGCACTTATCGCTCGATACGATTGTATATGGCACGACACTGTACGGTGCAAGGCGACATGCTACAACCGAAACGATACGTCACGAAACACAAAGTTACGATACGGGAGGACTCGACACGATATAACGAATATGAACATAATGGCACGATATGATCGTACCAACCAACAGAAGCAGGTACATGCTCACATTTCCACACACAAGTATTCCCAACGAACCTTCTGCGAATTGAACTTACACACGAAACAGGAGGAGAGCAGGAGGAATGGGAGGAGCTGAACGGGGAGGAGGGGTGGATGAGGAGGCAGGGAGGCGGGGAAGAAGGAGATTACGAGGCAGGGGCCGGAGATGAAGAGCAGGGGGGGGGAAGAGGAGTAGGAGGATCAGGAGGAGCAGCAGTCACATGATGAGGGGGTGGAGGAAGAGGAGGAGGAGGAGGAGGAGGAGGAGGATACGCAATCGAAATATGAGGTGGATGGGGAAGACCAGCCGGACAATAATGGTACGGATGACGCCATCCTTCTCCTCCTCCTTCTCCTCCCCCTCCTCGCCCTCGTACAACGCGCACTCTCTGGAGGGTGTCCTCGTGTCCGGGTGCCAGTCCGACAGTGCAACAAGCCGTGCAGCGTCTCCCTTCCCCCGTCGCCCCGGGACTATTCAGATCGTGCGGCTGTTTGTTTGGCGCCCCGCTCCCAGTGGAGGACCTTTCCGACCGTGCGACCAACCGCCTATCCCTCACAGACGGCCTGTGTTCGCAGGCTTGTCCTGGGAGCTCGCCGAGGTTTCGCGCCACTCGCCCATCGTCATCTCCGGTGCTAGCACAGCCAGGCGCTATCGCCATGCCTTGCCTCGCCGTGCCTCTTATTCCGCGCCCTCGGCCCTGAACATTTCAAACTCCCAGTCTGGTCACATCGGCCTGGCCGACGCACTTTCGATGTCGTCCTGTCTTGTTCGTGCTAATTTGCAGCAGTAGCATCAGGTGGCGGCAGTAACATCATACAGTTAGCCTTTTCGTCCTCCCCCTCCTTCCTCCCTGCTCCCCCCCTCACCCTCCTCGGTCTCTCCCCCCTCCTCCGCTGGCCCCCCACCCAACCCCTCTTCCCTCCCTCCCCCCTCCCTCTCCCCTCCCTCTCCCCTCCCTCTCTCCCCAGTTCCCTCCCAACTCCCCCCCCGAACTTTCGCAGGGGGGGGGGAACAGTGTGACAATTTGGCCGTCACCTTCCCTCACCATCCGGTCGGCCAGCTTCTCCGCTCCAGGGCGCCAGGGCACGACACATGCTCGGCTGAGCCCACAGGACCCCCTTGTTGTGCACAATGCTCGGAGCAGGGCGAGCTGAGACGGCACCAGCTCAGTATGGATCCTTTTGGACCCAGCCTCCCAGGCTGACCGCGCACCAATCTTCCGAGCTGCGCCCAGCCGTCGCCATGAAAAAAAGGCCCCATGAAGGCCAACTGCAGTCGACCCGTATCACAAGGATCCACGATAAGGATGCAAAGGGAGTTGGCAGGCCGTTTCGAAGCTTTCCGAGCGGGGGGGGCCAACGAAAGTGGCCGAGGACGGGCCGAAGAGGCAGGGATGCAAAGGTACCGTTGGGAAGGTTGCCCATCCTTACTCTACGGGTTGAACGTAACGTTGTCTGAACTCGCCCTCCTCTGCAGCGCGCTCTCTAATCAAGGGGTTGGCGGAACTGGGTTTAGTGGGACCTGGTTTAGTGATGTGTACTGGGGGACGCCCCCCCCGCCCAATTCCACTAACCGGAACTGCCGTCACCCGAAAAAAAACACCAGCTACGGAAGACCTGGTTCAATGATTCTTTGATCCTGGCCAACTCAGGGGCTCCGGGGCCCTACCACTAACCTGGTCCCCTTACCTGGGGTCCTGGCTATACCCGATGAGTCCCTGGATGGGAGCAGGGATGGTCAATGGGGGGGCACCCGTCGCCTGGGGGGACCTCCCCGCCAGGCCGAGGGCTGGAGGAGGACGGAGGGAGAGGCAGGGAGGACATCCACGGGAGGAGGCGGAGGGGGAGGGGGAGAGGGAGGGGGAGGAGGAGGAGGAGGAGGAGGAGGAGGAGGAGGAGGAGGAGGAGGAGGAGGAGTCCCCTTACCTCGGGTCCTGGCTTCACCCGATCTGAAGCCGCCTGCCTCTCTCCACGGGCCCTCTCGCTCCCCAGCGGCGTGACGCCTCGCCCGCGCTGCGCCACCGACCGTGCGATGGAGCGCGCGACATGGATGATGCGGGCCGCCAATTCCGAGGGTTCCCCCCAGCAAGAGGCCATCGGGTCTAAGGCAGCCGTATCGCGCTACCGCGACTCCAGGAGCAGCCTCGTGCGCTCGAGCCGCGCCAGCAGCTCCTGCTCGCTGAAGGGCTCCAGCGCCGAGACGTTCGCGGCCTTCGGCCTGGAGGTCCTCTCTAAGAGGCTCGCCTCTTGCGCCTGCCAGGGCGGACGGCGTGGGGGTGGATGGCGTGAGGGTTCCACAACGGTGCGGTGACTCAGAGGAGGGCGAGTCGAGACAACGGTGGTTGGCCTTCGGAAGCCCCCTCGTCACCACAGCTCGACGCAGCTCGAGAAACTGGCGCAAGGGACACGTTGTTTTAGCTGCCGCTGTTTTCATAGAAGAAGAAGAAGAAGGAGGCGGACCAAAGACAAATACATATATGTCATATACACAAACGTGTGGCGCTCCGCCAGGGTTTCTTGGATCTGCTCTGGACCGGAGCGCGCCAGGGGCGGCGCTGGAGGCGCCAAGGAGGGAGGCCCAGCGCGAATCCAAGAACTCCGCGCGGAGAGCCAAAAACTTCTGTTTCTGGCGTGTTGTCGTTTTCGGCTCCACTCGCCCTGCTCCGAAGACAGACCGTACGGTGACCTCGTCGTCCTCCTCCTCCCCCTCCTCCTCCTCCTCCTCCTCCTCCTCCTCCGTTCCCAACACCTCCTCCTCCTCCTCCTCCTCCTCCTCCTCCTCGTGTTCCTCCTCCTCCGTTCCCAGCTCCTCCTCCTCCTCGTGTTCCTCCGCCTCCTCCTCCTCCTCCTCCTCCTCCTCCTCCTCGTGTTCCTCCCCCTCCGTTCCCAGCTCCTCCTCCGTTCCCAGCTCCTCCTCCTCCTGCCCCTCCGCCTCTCTCCTCCTCCTCCTCCTCCTCCTCCTCCTCCTCCTCCTCCTCCTCCCCCTCCTCCTCTCCGAAAAAGAAAAAACTTCGCCGCGCGGCCCGCCGCTTGGGCAGCGCTGCCACGGGGGACGGCCCCGAGAGGGGGCGGGCCCCGTCGCCCGAGCGCCCACTGCTGCGAGAGGGAGAGGGGACGGCCCCGGGCCGCCCCACGGGCCTCGGGCGGCCCGCCCCGGGGGTCCCAAGGACGCACCACCGCGCCGTGATCACCGCACCGTCTGGGCCCCCCCGACGACTGCAGAACAAATGAGATAGTAATAATATTGATAAGAATAATACTAAGAAGAAGAAAACATATTAGTAATATTACTAATAATAACAATAACACTACGAAAAGAAAGAGTAGCACTGATGAATCATACATGACGTAAGGATGATACTAATAATACGATAACAGTCATATAGTATAAAACTCAGAACAAAAAGAACAGACGAATAAAGCCAACAATCATGATAATAATAGGACAAGCGTAAGACGAATACGAGTAAGAACGCGAATCGTGATAATAATACGATCAAGGAAGAACCCACAAACCTCGGGCGGCCGCCCCAGGCCGCCAACCACTATAGAAATAATAGAAAAATGCTGTGAATAATCAGAGGAATAATCAAAACAAACATAAGACGGATACGAATAAGGAGGATAATAATAATGATACCGGAGAAAAAAACCAATCAGGGCTATAGGGCTAGGGGGCTATACGGCTATTGAGCTATAGGGCTACAGAGCTGTAGGGCTATAGAAGTGTAGGGCTATAGGGTTATTGGGCTATTGGGCTGTAGACCTATGGGGCATCCCCGGGCACCCGGGCACCCCCTGGCACCCGGGCGTGCAGCGAAAATCGGCGGCAAACCTAACCTAACAATACGAGTCCGCTAGGACCCCTACAGAGGCAAGCTCTGATTGGGGAGTAATCAGATCAAAAAGATACTAAGGATACCGATAATGATAACGATCATACGAAAAAAAAAAAAAAAAAAAGGAAGGAGAGGGCAAAACGCCACAAGCATCAACCGTTGGCTCTCCGCGCGGAGTGCTTGGATCCACGGATCCAGCGCGGATCCAAGCAGTCCGCTGGGGACGACCGGCTGGGTCTGTGGCGGCCGCTGGAGACGACCTGGGCACCCCCACCGGGGGTATAGCGGCGAGGCGCAGCAGCTGGAGAGTGTCCCGAGGCCTGGAAGGCCGCCGAGAATCGAGACCATTGCGGCCGATGACCCTGAAGAGCCATTCGCAATCAAGATGGGGGCCACGACCGGGGGGGTCACGATTGGGGGCCACGGTGGCAGGAGCGGGATAAGGATCGGGATTGAAGTAGGGAGATGGGACGTAGGGGTACAGGGGCGGTGATGTAGGGATAGGGGCCGGGATTTAGGATGGGGGTCCGGGGTGTGGATAAAATAAGGATGGGGCTGGAAGGATACAGCGGGGGCTCGACCACAAGAAGCCTTCCACAAGAAACCCGACCACAGGAAACCTTCCATCGTTGGTGTGGAAACGTCGCGCTTTCCATCGCAAGACCATCGAAACCCAAGAATCCCAGGTCACCCTGGAAGCAAGCAGGGTATTTCTTGGCATGGGCCCCCACTGTAGCACCAGCATCACCACCACCATCGTCGCCACCACCATCGTACACGCATGCGTGCCAACAAGTATGCATATATACACCTGCAAACTCCGTTACCTATACACGCCTCTGGCTACAGAGTTCTTACGCACACGTTGCCTGCAGGATAACCCTTCCGCTATACCTGAGCCGTCAATTGACGCTAACAGCTGCGGAACACAAGATGCCCAAAGCAAGGAAAGAAACAACCAGTGAGAAGCGAGCAGGACGGGTGAGAAGGGCAGGAACCTGGTGGTGCGGAGGTGTGCATTGACTAGAACTCTTACGCGCACGTCGACTGCAGGAAAACCCCTCCAACCCGTGCGCCCGGACCCGACGCCTGCAGCCCGCCGCGCCGTCCCTGGCGGCCGCCCGCCGCGCCCGGCAGCCGGGCCGCCGGCGGCCCCTCGACGAGGCCTCCCGCGAGGCCCGCCGCGCCCGCGCGGCCCGCCGCCCCGACGGGCAGCACGCCGCCGGAGGGCTCGACGAGCACCGCGGCGCGGCCGGCGGAGCCCGCGGCCGCGGAGAGCACGACCTCCTCCTCGGCGCCCGCCGCGGGCCCGTCGTCGTCGTCCACGCCGTCGGCGTCGGCGTCGGCGTCGTCCGCCGCCTCGCCTGGGAGCGGGCGCGCCGCTCGGGGGGGGGGAGGGGCAGTGGCTTTCTCCGGAGAAGGGGGAGGAGGAGGAGGAGGGAGGAGGAGGAGGAGGAGGAGGAGGAGGAGGAGGAGGAGGAGGAGGGAGGATGAGGAGGAGGAAAAGGAGGAGGAGGAAGAGGAGGAGGAGGGAGGAGGAGGAGGAGGGGGAGGAGGAGGAGGAGGAGAAGGCCAGCCGCCGAAAATCAACGAAGAAATAGGAGAACGTTCGAAAACCTCGAACCTGGATGCTGTCCCCTTCTGGCGTGGCCCCTGAATTCGCCGGCCCAACGAGCCAGAGGCGTGCTAAGATCTCCGGTAACTACTGAACAATATTTCTAGTTCGCGCGCGCGGGGGGCGGCCCCTGGGGGCCCCCGGACGAAAAGTACCCGGGGCGATCCACGGCCGGGTCGCGGCTGGGTCCCGGGCGATCCCCAGGGGGGAGGCAAGAGTTCGCCACCTCTCACGAGGATCGTGGCCTCCGAGGGGGTGGCTGCAATCGACTACCCCCCCCTCCCGCCCCAAGGGGCCCCCAAGAGCCCCCTAACAGGCCCCAGGGGAGCCCAAGACGCCGCCCAAGGAGCCCCAAGACGCTCCCAAGAAGCCCCCAAGAGGCCCCCAAGACGGCCCCAAGAGGCCCAAGAAAGCGCTCCAGGGCTGGCGGAATGAGCGAAGCGATAATAAACGGAGAGTTGTGGAGTCCCTCGGGTCCGATGGCGCACGCGCGAGAGTTGGTGCGTGCGTCTGTGAATGCTCTGCGTGCTCTGTGGCGTCTTCCTCTCCTTCCGCCTTCGCCCCGTCCTCCATTCTCTCCTCCTCCTCCTGCTCCTCCTCCTCCTAATCCTCATCCGCAATCTTGTTGTCTGCTGCGACCACAAAACACATACATATGTGCATGCAAACATTCAGGCAGACATGCATATATACGAATATATGTTTGTGTATGTGTAAGTGTGTATGATGGCAGATTCATAGGTATGTCTGTATGCATGTATGTACGTATGTATGTATGTATGTATATATGTGTGTATGCCTGTATGTATATATGCATGCATGTATGTATGTATGCATGAATGTATTTATAGTGATTTGTGTATGTATGTATGTATGTATGCGTGCATGTATGTATGTATGTATGCATGCATGTATGTATGTGTGTAGGTATGTATGTATGTACGCCTGTATGGCTGCATGTAAACATGCGTGTGCATATATATATATATATGGATGTACGTGTGCATGTCCATTTCTCACTATGGGGGAGGGGTGGGGAAAACAACAGCTGCTCCTCCTTGATCTGGGGTGCGTGTATACATATACATATACATATTATGTATATATATGTATGAGGGGTGTGGGTGGGGGGGGGGCGGGGGAATTAACTCCTCCTCCTCCTGCCTTGCTCGTTTCGTCCTCCTCCTCATCGTTTTACTCTTCCTCCTCCTCCTCTCCTCCGCCTCTTTCTCCTCCTACTCGGCCTCTTCCTCCTCCGCCTCTTTCTCCTGCTCCTCCTCCTCCTCCTCTTCCTCCTCCTCCTCCTCTTCTTCTCTGTCTATATCCCTATATACAGATGTGTATATATAGAGATCCCCTAGATGATACATAATGAGCAAACTCAAACAACCCGTGGTGGGGGACGGCCTTGTTTTTGTTCGCGGTTTGTTTTGTGGGGGGGGGGAAAGGCGGGAAGAAAACTGATCCTCCTCCTCCTCCGTGATCGCCTCCTCCTCCTAGCCCCTGCTAGGCCGCCATGCGAAATCGTCCTGCTAAGAGCCCTGCTGAGTCCCGGCTTTGCCGTGCCAGCCCCTGTTCATCCCCGAGGCCTGCAAGCCCCTGCAAAGCCCTGCCACGCCTTGCTAACGCCTGCTGCTAAGTCACGTCGAGGAGCCCTGCTAGCGACCTGCAACGTCTCGATGTGCACCGCTAAGCTCCGCCAGGCTCTCCCAACCCTGCTAAGCCCTGGTATTCAATGTTAACTGTTGCGGGGCACCGTTAAGACTTGCCATGCCATGGTAATTCTTGCGGAACCCTCCGACACCCGCTCAAACCGTGCTGCGCCCTTCTAACCGCTGAAATGCCATACGTACCCTTGCGAAACCCATGCAGGCCCTGTTGAGACTTGCGAGGCCCTGCGGACACCTTTTGAGCTTTGTTCTGCCTGGGAGAGTTTGGTAAGCCATACGGTTGCCGGATGAGGCATGGTAGGCCCTGATGAGCCTTGGTCCTGGTAATACCTGCTATGCCCTGCCACGTCCTCATCGGGTCAGCTAAGCCCTGCTAAGCTTGGCCATGCTCCTCTACGCCCTCCCCTTGGTCGCGCCACGCCTTCCCAACCACTGTCAAGCCCTCAGAATTGTTATGCCATGGCAAGGCCTGGGAAGCACTGCTAACCCGGCTTCAGCCCTGCATGGGGCTGCTACATTCTACAAGTGCGTGTGCATCTCTGCTGGGCCAGATTTTGCGTTGCTAGACTGCTGGGCTCTGTTCGGCCCTCATCGGTCATGCTAGGGCTTCGACCGACCATGATATGGCAAGCCACGCTTTGCTTTGTCCTCCTGAGGCATGCTAGGCCTTGCTGAACGGTGATGGGTCTTGCTCATCCCTGGCAAGCCCAGCACTGCTAAGAGCCGAGGTCCGCCTTGCTAACCAGTGCTCGGTTCTGCTCAGTCCTGCTTGGCCCTGCTATGCCCTGGCACGTCCTGCTAAGTCCTGCTGGGGGCTGCTCAAAAGGTTCCGTGGCGTTGCAAAGCCCTTGTGACTTTGCGAAGCCATTCTGAACCCCCTAGGTCCAGACAGGCCTTGCTGCGACATGCGTAGCCGTGCCCAGCCATGCTGAGCCCTGCGAAGCTCAGCCGAACCCAGAAGGTGCTGTGCTTGGCGTTGATATGTATGCCAAACGGGGCCCGGCTGTATCAAGCCTTGCCAGGCCACGTGGGATTCTGCCAGGCACTGCGGAACCCTGCTCAATTCTGATTTGCCCTGCTCGGTCCTGCGGAGCCCTGCTGAGCCTTGCTGGGTCCAGAGAAACCCGTGACGTCAGCTTGTGATGAACAAATCCGTGGGGGGGGCCGTGTTAAAAAATAATCCCCCTGCTCGGGCGAATCGCGGGGTGGCGCCCGACAGAATGAAAATCAACGGGGCGGCGCCGGTGATTAGCGCCGACGCCCGGCCGCCAACGAGGGGCAATAGGGGGGGTTTGGAGGCAGCGGCGAGCCAGGGCGCCCGTCTTCCTGTCGAACCGATGCGGGCCTGCGGGCAAGGCGGGCTGGACGAAAGCTGGGCGCAGCAAAAACGGAATTAGCCAAGCAGCTCGCGTCGCCGATTTTCCAAGCGCCTCCTGGCACCGAAGGCGGCACTGGCCATTCGGCGGGGCGGCCGAAACCAGTAGCTTGCAGCAGGCTCTGCACCCCGCCCTTTTCTTTCCCCGGCCTTTCGTCCGACCCGAGCAAGGCGGGTAGTCCTCCTCCCCCCCTTTGTCGCCGTCGTCGCCGCCGTCCCCCGCCCTGCTTGCGCCCGCTTCCAGCGGCCGCTCTCTTCGTCGACGACGACGACGACGACGACGGGACGAGGACGAGAACGACGGACGGCGGACGGCAGACGATGACGGCGGCGACGACGACGACGCAGTACGGATGCCTTATGGGGGGGTGCTGCGCAGGCCCACTGTGGTCGACGACGACGACGACGACGACGAAAACGAAGACGACAAGGACGACGAAGAAGAAGAAGAAGAAGAAGACGACGACGACGACGACAACGACGATGGCGGCGGCGGCGGCGACGACGACGACGCCTGAGAGGGGGAACGGAAATTCGCCTGAGATGTGTAGGACCCTTATGACGACTTCTATACGAAAAAGGCAATCGTTTTGAGGCTGTCATGCGGGGGGGAACACGATCCCCTCGGCGGCGCCAGCGACGACCCCGTGGCGCGCGTGATAAAAAAAGGTCGTGTCCAGCGGGGTCTATTCAACAGCTCCGGGGGGGGGGGCCTTTTGTTAATCACAAGCTGACTCTAGGCCAAGCCAGTCCCTGATAGTACCTGATGAGCCTTGCATGCCCTCGTTAAGCCCTTCTACCCTCTGCTATGCCCTGCTCAGCCGTGATGGACCTGAACCTTGGCAGGCGTTGGCAAGCGCTGATAAAATCTGCAAAAAACCTGCCATGGCATGGCAAGCCCTGCTGAGCCATGCGAAGCCCTGCTCAATCAAGCCAAGCCATGGCAAGTACTGCTAGGCACCCCGAGTACGCACTTCGAAACTACTCGAGCACTTGCGGAGCCTTGCTGAACACTGCTTGGGCATAGTGAGCGCTCGCCTTGATACAGCCTGCTAGGCGGCGACATTCCTATGCCAAGCTTGGCCTCGATAAGCCAAGCTGAAACATGCCGCGCCCTGATCAGCCTTGATAAACAGTGCCAAACCCTGCTGAGACCTGCTGGCATTTGATAGAGATTGCTAAGCTTTGCTCGCGCTTCCAAACGCTGCGAATCCCTGCTAGTCCCTGCTAGGCCCTGCCAGGCTGTATACAGCTCCCCGGCCACGCCCCTGACAACCCCCCTCTTGTTCGGGCGTTGGCAGAACTGGCTTCAGTGGGACCTGGTTTAGTGATTTGCACTGGGGGACGCCCTTCTCCCGCCCCGTTCCACTGACCAGAATGGCCGTCACCCGAAAGAACACCAGCTGCGGCAGACCTGGTTTAGTGATTCTGGCTACTTTAGGGGCTCCGGGGCCCTACTACAGTCGGGGCCCTGAAGAAGGAACCCTTTTCGTTCGGGAGGGGCTCCGTGTTCCTAAATTGTTTTGCAGTGATCCTCGGGTTTTCCTGAGGCTTTCCATGGACAGTCGAAGTTCAACTTATGGGAGAAAGGGGCCCCGTTCCTTATTTAGGGTTCCTTGGGTCAACGCCCCGACTGGACTCACTGGGTCCCCTTACCTGGGGTCCTGGCTATACCCGACTTGTGCGCGCCGCCGCTCGCCGGTGAGGCCCTGCCAGGGCCCCGCCGGGGACAGGAGCGGGTCGCCCCCAGCCGCGGCGACCGCGCGCTTGGCGCCGACGCGGGCGCGCGCGGGGCGCGCCCCGGCGGGGAGGGCGCCGGCGGCGGCCGGGCTCGGCGCCTCTGAGCATCGCTTGACCGATCCTGGACCCTCTGATGCTCTTCCTGCTCCTCCACCTCCTCCTCCTCTTCGGTCTCCCCCCCCCCCTCCTGGGCCCCTGTCTCAACAAACTTTTCAGCCTTGATCACCACAGAGATGGTCGAGCACCAGGAAAGCACCGAGCACCAGGAAAGCACCGAGCACCAGGAAAGGTACTAGCGGTGAGGATATAGTATAGTCGGAGGCGGCACCTGGGAGGTTGGCGTGGGAACGAGTAGGGGCGACATATATGAGAACACGATTGAGGTGCCATTACGCCTGGTCAGGGCGCACTTGGCTTGGGAGTTGAGCTTAGGTCGGGCATGTCCTCCTACAGGGGACCTTTGGAAGAACAGTAACAACAACAGCCAGCACATACTCAAACATGGTTTTAAAAGAACACTTGAACAATCGTTCCCAAACTCTTTTGTTTTAAACAATGCTTTAATAATCCTCCTGTAGAGGGACGTGCCCGGTTTAATTGAAGCCGGAATAATCTGGACGAAGCAGAGTTAAGCCGAATGATAGGCCATATTCGCCCAGAGAGTTAAGCCGATGACCGGCCGCGAGCATACCAGCGCCGATGCAGAATTCAACGGGGCTGCAATCAAGGATATAGGCTGTTCACCTGGAGTATCGCGGGACCTATCCCCATCTTGAAGGGCGGGCTGGTGGGTCTGAAGTGCCACGGCCCAAATGGGGATGAGGATCGGCTAGACGATGCTGAGCCTCGTGGCCGGCCGGCTCGTGCGGAGCCGCGTGCGCCAGGACCTCCTGTCGGGTGTTGCTAGCAGTGATCCTGGCCCAACCCCGAGATCCTGCCGTTGCATTTTTCGTACTTGGCGCTTTCGCCCCTGCCGCTGTCATGTTCCGACCTACTTGATCCTGGATCACAACAAAAATATCGAGCACCCAACCAACAACAAACTCAAAAGTTGTCACGTGTCGGGCCCTGGGAGACACTCGCCCGACACTGTTTCGACACTCTTTCGACACTTTTTCTGGGTGCTCGATTTTTTCTGGGATGCGGTCTTTCAGCACGATGGGAGCAACATAGCCCTGTTGCTGCAGGTTTGTTTGCACTGGATGTTGTCGTCGGGCCTCGGGCCCCTGGGCCATCACAGGCCGACTTTCGCTCGGAACATGCGGCAGGAAGACGGGGCCCGAGGCTCTGGTCGTGACCATTCTTTTCTGTGGTACGCGGGCGCGCGAAGACGACGAACGCCGTGCAGGCTAAGACGGGCCGCGCCGAAGCAAAGGGGAAAACAGCGAAGCGAGCGGCGCGGTCGTGACCTTTCGCGATGTTGCAACGTTTATCGCAGCGTCGGATCTCTCGGGGAAGTTTTTCTCGCTCCACATTGGGGTCACTGGGGCGCCGCGTGCTTTGGACATCCTCCGGGCCTCCTCGGGGGTTCCCTTGGGGCACCCGAGGCCGAGAGCACAGCTGGCAACACCCGGCTCCTGGCCGTGCGGTGCGGCGGGGTGCGCCTGCGTCTGGCAGTTGGTGGGGTGCCGGGTGCTGTCGAAGAGGAACGTCATCTTGGCGTCGTCGCCGTCGTCGTAGTAGAAGCTGCCGGTGCTGCCGCACGTCACCCGCTGCATGTCGCGCCCCCGCGGGTAGGTGGCGGAGGGGCACCGCACCAGCAGCATGGCCTGGCCGTCGGCGGACTCCACGTCGAGCAGCTCGCCGGAGGGGAAGACCTCGTCGGGCTTGGAGCAGAGGTCGTCACCCTTGTAGGTGTCCTTCCTCCCAATGTGGCGCGCGCACAGCCTGGGGGCGCCCAAGAGGGGGACGTCCAAGAGGGGGGCCGCAAGGCTCGGGCCGAGGCACCTTGCGAGGGTGAGGGGGGGGGGGCAGGGAACGCACTGAAAAAAGTGAAGGGGGCCATGGAATCCAGGGGGATAGCATCGATGGGCCTGTGTCCCACCACCACCACCAGAAGTTGGATGGTGGAAGGAGGAGGACGAGGAGGAGGACGAAGAGGAAAAGGAGGAGAAGGTGGAGGAGGAGGTGGAGGAGGAGGTGGAGGAGTAAGACCTCCTCCCCCTCCAACTTATGGTGGTGGTGGTGGTGGTGGAAACAAGCCCATCAAGCATGGCTCCGGCCATGATCTTCCCCACCCTAGTCAGCTCCCCCCTCTTGGCCACCCTCGACAGCCGCACGCCCTTCTCGTCAAGCTCCCTCTTGCTCAGCCCGGTCTTGCCGTCCACCTCTCGGCGGCGTGCCGAGGGGGGAGGTGGAGAGGGGGCAGGCCTTGTCAGAAGGCGGCGAGGCTCCTCGGGAGCATTCAGGCCCTTCGAGAAGCCCCCTGTTTTCGGAGGAGGACCATGAGCTTCTGAGAAGGCCTGAGGCCCTCTGGGCGTGCTGAGGATCCTGAGATCCGAATTCGCGGAAAACTTGCGACATCGCGAACTGGCAAGACCGGAGCCCTGGACACGTCGTTCTGCGCGATCGCACCGGGGCTGGAGCGATCTGTGATGGCCCCCGGGGCCCGGAACCGGGCGACCACGCCAGGGACGAACAAAAACTGCAGCGCCAGGATCTCAGGGAAGGCC